ACTATCCAAGTAAGTTTAAGCTATAGCAACATCCTATTAATGCGTGCCTCTTTTCATTTATTTATTTTTAAATATATTTTTATTGATTTCAGAGAGGAAAGGAGAGGGAGACAGAAACATCAATGATACTTGATTGGCTGCCTCGCGATCTGGGCTGCATTTCCCCCTTCCCAGGAGAGCACGCCCCCTACTGGGGAACAGAGCCCGAAACCCAGGCATGTGCCCTGACTGGGAATGGAACTGTAGCCTCCTGGTTCATAGGTCAATGCTCAACCACTGGGCCACACCTGCAGGGCGTGTGTGCATCTTGATTCAAGTTCTTCCACAAATCTGTAGCCTCCAAAACAGTGACTTGCATGTGGCGATGAGGCCTGTAATTCATAAGGCTCTCTGGTTTCCATGAGTCTTTAGCACTCCGGCCCGTGCGCATCCATCATGTGAAGAGCTGGGTTGGTGTGCCAGTGGGAAGAGCCCAACAGCTCTCGCTAGTGCTTACATACGAGGCACCAAGTGCAGAAGAACAAATCTTGCAAATGGAATGAACTTGGTTTTCAAGTGCCAGCTGACCATTTTGGATAGGAACAATGAATTTATACCTAATGCCAACAAGATGGCCTTAACCTCATAGGAAATATTGGATATTAAAACACCATTGATTAGAATAGACTTCATTTCAGATAACCAATGTTCTAGAAATCAGAATATAAAATCCCAGGAGATAGCTAAGTGGCATATTACAACAGCAAGGTAACCATGCATGTGTGCAAATATCTACCATCATTATTATTATCCAAATTGGCGGAGGGGGTGCCAGGTCTGCCTGCTTATCTCAGTAGTTGAGCATCGACCTATGAACCAGGAGGTCATAGTTTGATTTCTGGGATTCCTGGTCAGGGCACATGCCTGGGTTGTGGGCTCAATCTCCAGTGTGGGGCATGCAGCAGGTGGCCGATCAATGATTCTCTCCCATCATTGATGTTTCTCTCTCTCTCTCCCTCTCCCTTCCTCTCT